TCCCTACTTTTCCAATCCTACACAGAAATTAAATTAAGCAACAGAAATTCCTTCCAGTTTCAGTTTTGAAAGTGTTGAAGTGTTGGTACACATCCGTACCTCCCTTCAAAAACACCAGCACAAAAAGCCCTCGAGAAGCAAAAAACCCACTCATAATCACTCTAAGCCAACAGACTGACTCAACAGCAAGGAAAAAATGATTAGTCAGCAAGAATATCTGCACTTGAGTTGCTCATAACAAGTTTTAATTATTTAACAAACAGAACCACTTCCCTATTCCAGCTTCTATCCAGACTCATAAAACGTGGGCATGGAGCCCAAGGGCAGAGTTACACATACATCTACTTGGACAGCAGTGCCGAGCTGCAGTCTCTCCTTTCACTACAACCTACAGCAGTAATTCCAGCTGTGTGTCAGCCCTTCCACTGAACAACTATAATGGACCCTACTTAAAAATAAAGCCATCTGCCAAATTATTTTTCCAACAAATCAGTTGCCCAATTCAATTCATGGCATAGTCAACAAAGATGTAGCAGCGTAGAAGCTGCTCAAATTGGCATTGCTTTCTAAATAAGTGCCTGTGTTGCTATACCCCCAGAGTCCCAATTACTTGTATAAACCTTTCCCTATGCAAGCAGAGGATGAAATTGATGGTGGCATTAGCTCCATGCTCCGCAGCAAGCAGTTACCGCCTCTGCTGTGCATTCTGCATTCCTTGCCTGCCATTTATCTCCAAGATCTTTCAGTGTTTCAATTCAGCAGCACGAAGCTAAGGACTGAGAATACAACAAAGCAGGAGAGTGAGTTCTAGAGTATTGCAACCAGGGAAAAAGAAAGGTGAACAGGCTATAAGTGTTCTGAGGCACATCAATCCCAACTCCAGATGTCGTAGACGCATCACCTACATAATGCGATGCAGTCACTGAAGTCATTCCTAGCTAAACATAGCCAAGGGTATGCATAATAGTACACAGACAAAATTTTGGCTTTACTATCTTATAGTATTTAAAAGGACACAATGAATTTCCAACCTTACTCAACAAGCCAAGAA